GCAAATATTGTCAGGGTGGTATACAAATAACTCAAGCTTGGGAGACACTGGCATAGGAGAGAGAACATGGGTTTTCAGGGCTTATAGGGCTGAATTCAAATCCTGCCTCTGCCATTTGCTATTGAATGACCCTGTGAAATGCTTAATCCCTGAACATTTACCATAATACTATAAGAAAAGGATTGGCAGTAGCAGGATACTGCCAGGGGCATGGGGGGTGGGGAACACAATAAGGGTACCTGATCTTAAACCAGGCAAAGTAGAGACCAAAGGAAGGCCCAAACTTTACCTGTATGATGTTCATTTGTACACCTAATCCTGAATTGTACCACACATCGTTAAAATAAAATAAAGTTGCTTAACCTTTATGCTTCTCAGATTACTCATCTATGAAATAAAAATAACAATACTTATTTCACAGAGCTTTTCTGAGGATGAAATAAAATCAAAGTATGAAGGCCCCTAGCAGAGCCCTGGGTGTATGAGTTGGTGCTCAGTCAGTGGTAACTATAATACTTGATGGTCCAAACATCATACACATATTCAAATGCATCCCATGCATGTGGCTATTTATATAATCGTGTCCATTTATTCCGGCTGACCTTTCTGTCCAATGTTAAATATCAGTGGCAAGTAAGCACGCACTGGGCTGGAGAGGAGGGTTACCAACCAAAGAGAAGGAGCAGAGATTAATTGGAGTCCTGGAGGCCTCTGGGCAGTGCCTGGGGCAGGTAAGGGCACAGGAAGAAGCCTAGCAATAAACAGCCTGTGTTCCAATAGAGATGTTACCCTTCTGAGAGCATGGAGTGAGCAAGCATCAGCCTTATAATTATTAACTCAGATTCTAAACATAAAAAGCCAAATGGACTGTGCAAAATGGGAGCCAGGGAAAGTCTTATCAAGAATGAATCAGCCTCTTTGATCTTGAGGTAAACTGACTCATTAACATCAAGCTTCCACCTGGAGTTTTTCCAGACACTCAAGTGGTTGCCTAATTCCCAGCTGTCTGGTGTTTCCAGTCCAAAGTGGCTTTAAAAAATAAAAGTCCCACCATGTCTGTAAAGTTCATCCTCCATTAAATACACAAAGGTCGGGTGCGGTGGCTCATGCCTGTAATCCTAGCACTTTGGGAGGCCAAGGTGGGAGGACTGCTTGAGCCCAGGAGTTCAAGACTAGCCTGGGCAACATAGCAAGACCTTGTCTCTACAAAAAAATCAAAAAATTAGTTGGGCATGGTAGCACACACCTCTAGTCCCAGCTACTCAGGAGGCTGAGATGAAAGGATCACTTGAGCCCAGGAGATCAAGTCTGCAGTGAGCCATGATCATGCCACCGGGTGACACAGTGAGACCCTCACTCAAAAAAAAAAAAGGAAAAATAAAAACATACAGATCTGTGCTACTAATCCAAAGGATTAGGGACTCCAAAAATATTTTTAAGGTAATTTTCAAAAATCCAGATAACGTGAAGATAAATTAGTCTGCCCAATCTGGAACTAAATGTGTAGGTATGGGAAGGGAGTGGGGAGTAAATGGAGTGAAAACAGAGAACAGAAGCAGAAGGCATTCAGAGAGCAGCAAAAAAGTAGAAAAAGATGGAGGGGAGAAGCCAAAAGTGAACACTGAGGAAGGGAAAAACAAAATACATGGAGGGAGTTGGGATGGGGTAGGGGGTGAATAAATGGGAAGAAAAAAAAAAAAAAACAGGGAAAAGAAGAAAGAAGGGAGAGCAGCTGAGCAAGTGCCATGGTAATCAGTAGCTTTTACTATATTTCCAGATGCTGCTCCTACCTACCCACCCAGAGATCATCCGCACTGCACCATGAATTAATCAGCATGTAAATCACCCCCCTTTATCTGCGGAAATTGAATTTAGCTGCCAATCCTGATGGAGGGCACAGAGGCCTCCTCAGAGAAAGATCACAGCTCTCAGGAAGAATGCCTTTTCTTTCCTTAAATCAAAGCTTGCACAAACCCATGGAAACAGCTGCAGCTGGAGCCAGACTCTGTGAAAGGTAGCAGGCTGAGAATGGTAATTATAATTAGCAGTTACATAACATGTTTGTTCTTCAAAGTGCTCTACAAGCATCAGCTAATTAATAGCTTACTATGCCCCATGCAGATCCACTGGTTTTTCATGCAGTGACTAATTCTTGTACCCCATTAGATTCTGAATGGTGGCGGCAGAGTAGGTTGAGTGATGAAGCAAATGGCTGAGGGTCAGAAGCTATGCCCAGCCCACTCACCAAGTGACCCCATGGGTACCTTGGTGTCGGGAACGTGTTGAATTCAGCATCCCAGGAGGCAGCTGCCTCACTTCCTCCAAATAACTCTCGGAGGTGTTATTAGGTGATAGGATGGAGTGGCCATCTAGTTCAGTATGGCATTAGCTCCTCTCAATTTCCCCAAGTATTAAGCCTGGGACCCTGGAGTCTGTGGTGTCACTTACAGGTTTGACTTTGTTTCTCTGTGCAAGTTGGGCAAGTCAGTAAGACCTCTCTAAGAGAAGGTTGCGTTAGATTATCGGGTTCTCATTCAGGTCTCCCCTTCTTGTTTTTTATTACTGCAGTCTCTAGCCTACATCCTCTTAATTTTGTGGTGGAGATAATTGCATGTAGGAATTGCATGGCACAGACAGAACCTCAGCCGCAGAGCTGTTTCCCACATACTCCAAGGATACGTTAGCCAAGCACTTCAGAGGTCCATGAATGTCTTAAATGTAAACATTATGTGTATATTTATATGTGCATTCCTTCAGGGAAAGGGTCCATTTCCCCTATTGCCCTGTCAACTCCAAGAGGGTATGCCAACAAAGTACCTCAGACATAGTGCATGCTAAATAGATATCTATTGAATGGACAGATTTCATCAAATTCCTATTCCCAAAATAGTTTTGTACCATTGCTCTATGGACAAATAATTTCCAAAAGTCCCCATATTTTGCTTGCTCTAGGTAGACTTTTCTATGGAAAATGTTGACGGGCAAGACCCAAGAGACATTCTACCACAATTCTGCTGCTAGTCAAACCAGAGACCCAGACCAAAGCTACCTGGAGATCTCATTCTTCAGGGATCTGTCTTCAGAGCCAAACAAGTCAACATCCAGAAATACATTCCCAGAGACTATGTGGCAACCTTTTGTCACACCCTCTAACAACCATCACAAATGGTGAAAATCACTGCCTTTTCCCACCTTGTCTCTTGGAGGTAGAAGAGTGAAATGAAGCATGTGGTAGTGCACACTTCCAATTCACGAGTAGATATTCACACGAGGCTAATAGTTGCAGGAAAAAGATTAACATGTGCATGGTGCTTTAAACTTTTCAAAAAGGATCCCCATGGATTATCTCATTTGATTCCCTCTTGACACTCTTTGAAGCAGGAAAGGCAGATTTTGTTTTACCCTTTTACAGATTAGGAAACGGAGGCTCATAATGCCTTACCTGATGACATACAGTTAATATATGACATGGCACTGTTAGACTACAAACTGAAATCTCAAAACTCCTTTCACCAGCAATTCCACTTCTGGGTATAAATCCAAAAGAACTGAGAGCAGTACACCCATGTTCATAGCAGCTTTATGCACAATAGCCAAAATGTAGATGCAACCCGTGTCCATTAACAAATGAATGAGCCGGTCTCGGTGGCTCAGCCTGTAATCCCACGCCTTTGGGAGGCTGAGGTGAGTGG